AAATCTGCTCTAAAAAAGTGTATTTTTAAAAGTTTCTAATTTGTAGATTTTCAGTGGATTCTTGTACTTTTATTAATTTTTGCTTTATGTATGTTGACTTTTTTAGTTTAATTGTATCTTAGGTGAAAATTTACGGTGCAAATTAGTTTCTCGTTCAAAAATGTGTACATAAATTGTTTTGTGACATTGATTGCAATCCCTGCAATGTGTCAGCAGTCTCCCCCTTTCCCTTGACACTCCAGTTCTCCTTGACCATTCCTCCAGGTTTCCTGTCCCTTCCTGCCTTCTCATCTTTGCTTTTGGGCAGTCGTTTCCCCTTTGGTCTGGTATATTTGATTGAACTAAGAAGCACATTCCTCATGTGTGTTATTATTTGTTTTATAGGCCTTTCTAATCTTTGGCTGAAAGGTAGACTCCAGGAGTGTCTTCAGTTCTGAGTTAGCAGGGTATCTGGGAGCCATAGTCTCAGGGGTTCCTCTAAGTCTCTGCCAGACCAATAAGTCTGCTCTTCTCTTTCTTTCTTTTCTTTTTTTTCCTTTTGTGAATTTGGATTATGTTCTACATTTTTCTCCTGCTGCATCTGGAACCCTCTATTGTGATCCCTGTCAGAGCTGTTGGTGTTGGTAGCTGGGCACCATCTAATTCTTCTGGGCTCAGGCTGGTTTATGTGGTCCATTAGTCCTTTGTAGTGATATTTTCCTTGTGTCTTTGGTTTTCTTCATTCTCCTTTGCTCCAGATGTGGTGGGACCAATAGATGTATTTCACATGGCTGCTCACAAGCTTTTAGGACCCCAGGCACCACTCAGGAAAGTAGGATTCAGAACACTTTCTTTATGAAATATGTTATGCCAATTGACCTAGATGTCCCCCAAGTCCATGGTCCCTGGCCCTCAGTCCCAATAACTCAGTCCCTCAAGATGTTTGGATGTGTCTAGGAAGCTTGTATGTATATGTTTACTCTTCATTGATTTTTTTTTTTTTTTTAGATAATTTTTGGCTCTGTCGAGTTCAATATAATACAGCGAAATTCCTTGTGCATTTTGCCCAGTTGTAACATTTGGGTAACATTTTGTAAAACTGTGCTGTAATATTATAACCATGATGTTGACATGGATACAATCCATTGGTCGTATTCAGATTTCCCCAGTTTTCCTTGTACTTATTTGTGTGTGTGTGTGCGTGTGTGTGCGTATTAACTTCTATACTGTTTAAGTTCGTGTATCCACCACCACAGTCAAGATACTGAATGGTTCCAACACCACAGGGATCCCTCATGTTGCCCTTTTATAACCATACGCACCTCCCTCCCACTCCCTTCCTCACTTCAACCCTTGGCAAACACAAATCTGTCTTCCATTTCTTAAAATTTGGTCATTTAGAAAATGTTATGTAAACATTTCTATAAATGGAGATTAGCTTTTTCCACTCAGCATAATGCTCTAGAGATCCATCCAAGTTGTGTATATCGATAGTTTGTTCCTTTTTGTTGCTGAGTAATATTCCATGGTATGGATGTACCAGAGTTTGTTTAACCGTGTATCTGTTGAAGGACATCTGGGCTGATTGTATTTTTGCCTATTACAAATAAAGTTGACATGAACATTTGTATACAGGTTTTTGTATGGACATAAGTTTTCAGTTCTCTGGGATAAATGCCCAGAAGTGCAAATGCTGGGTCATATGGTAGTTGTATATTTAGTTTTTCGAGAAACTGCTATTTTCCAGAGTAGCTATACCATTTTACATTTCTACCAGCAAAGTATGTGTGATCCAGTTGTCACTTTTTTTTTTATTTTAGCCATTCAAATATATTTATAGTGATATCTCATTGTGGTTTTAATTTGCATTTCCCTAATGGCTAATGATGTTGAACATCTTTTCAGGTGCTTATTTGCTATTTGTATGTCCTCTTCATAAAATATCTGTTCATGTCTTTGCCCATTTTTTTAATTGGTTTGTTTTGTACTGTAGATTTTTAAAAGTTCTTTATATATTCTAGATACTTGTTCTTTGTTGGATATGTGATTTATAAATATTTTCTCCCAATTTATAACTTTTCTTTTTATCCTCTTCACATGAGCTTTCACAGAGCAGAAGTTTTTAATTTTAATAAGCAAATCTTATCAATCTTTTGTGACTTTTTGTGTCAGATCTAAAACCTCTTTGCCTAGCCCTTGATGTTGAAGATTTTCTGGTTTTTATCTATAAGTTTAATAGGTTTGTGTTTTACATTTAAGTCTGTGAGCCACTCTGAATTACTTTTGAATAAGGTGTGAGTTAATTTTGAATAAGATGTGAGGTTTAGGTTGAGGTTCATTTCTTTGCCTGTTGCTGTTGTTAGATGCCGTTGAGTTGATTCCAACTCATAGCAACCCTATTGGACAGAGCAGAACTGCCACATTATAGGGTTTCCTAGGCTGTAATCTGTACAGGAGCAGATCACCAGGTCTTTCTCCCGTGGAGCCGCTGGGTAGGTTAACAGCCAAGCACACTTAACCTGTTGTGCCACCAGGGCTCCTTTTTCTTTGCCTATGAACGTCCAGTTGCTCTGGTGTCATTCACTGACAAGGCTATCCTTTTGCACCTTTGTCAAAAATCAGTTGAGCTTCTATAGAAGAATTCTGATCAAAAGTGGGGAAAATACAGAACAGAATTTCAAATGCTTATGAACTCCAGACTTCCTAGAGCCGTGAAAGTAGGATGAACCCCTAAAACTATTGCCCTGAGATAATCCTTAAACTTTAAACCAAAAATATTCCTGAAATCTTCTTAAAACCAAACAGTAGTTTAGCTTAACTAGTAAAAAATGTCTGCCTTGAGTATTAAGCTCTTTTAAGAACTACCTTGCATGCCGAAAGTGATGAGTACTTGAAAAGAAAGCAAAAATCTTCACAACTGGACCCATAAGCAACATCATGATAAACAGACTATATTGATTGAAGTTGCCAAGGATTTCATTTTACTTGGATCCACAATTAATGCCCATGGAAGTAGCAGTCAAGAAATCAAACAATGCACTGCATTGGGCAAATCTGCTGCAAAAGACCTCTTTGAAGTGTTAGAAAGCAAAGATGTCACTTTAAGGACTACGGTGTGCCTGACCCAAGCCATGACGTTTTCAATCACCTCATATGCATGCGAAAGCTGGACAATGAATAAGTAAGACCGAAGAAGAATTGATGCCTTTGAATTATGGTGTTGACGAAGAATATTGAATATACCATGGACTGCCAAAAGAAAGAACAAATCTGTCTTGGAAAAAGTACAGCCATAATGCTCCTTAGACGCAAGGATAGCAAGACTACGTCCCACATAATTTGGACATGTTATCAGGAGGGATCAGTCCTTGGAGAAGGATATCATGCTTGGTAAAGTAGACAGTCAGTGAAAAAGAGGAAGACTCTCGACGAGATGGATTGACATAGTAGCGGCAACAATGGGATCAAGCATAACAACGATTGTGGGGATGGCACAGGACTGGGCAGCGTTTCGTTCTGGGGTACATAGGGTCACTATGAGTTGGAACTGACTCGATGGCATCTAACAACAACATGATGTTAATGAGGCAGGATACAGTCTACAGAATTAGGTTGTATCTTGAGTCAGTCTCTTTTGAGATATGAAAGAGAGACGCAAGCAAGGAGGAGAGGGACCTCATGCCACCAAGAAACAAGCGTCAGGAGTGGAGCACGTCCTTTGGACCCTGAGTACCTGTGCTGAGAAGCTCCAAGACCAGGGGAAGATTGATGACAAGGACCTTTCCGCAGAACTGACAAGAGAAATCCTTCCTGGGAAGCTAGCGCGCTGAATTCAGACTTCTAGCCTCCTGGACTATGAGAGAATAAATGTGTTTGTTAAAGTTATCCACTTGTGGTATTTCTGTTATAGCAGCACTAAATAACTAAGACAGAAACCCTATGGGGCAGTTCTACTGTGTCACATGGGGTCACTCTGAATCAAAAATCAACTCGATGGCACGCAACGACAACAGTGTTGGTTAGTTAGTTGGTTGGTTTTGGTTTGGTTTTTTTGGTCCTCTCTTCTCAGCCCTTGTTCTGGGATTTTTTTTTTTTTTTTTTACTGAGGGTGCAGCTCTTTGAGGATCCTGCCTCTGTACAGTTGTCTCAGTTACCACTCTCCTCTTCTCTTAAGCCCAGGCCAGGTCCCCTTCTGAGCTGTGTCCAGGCCTGTCTTCCCTTCAGTGCTGCTGCAGCATCAGCTCTCACACGTTACTCCTCCTTCCTGGCGCATGGAGACTCCTCTTTCTACCTTACTAGTTCAGCTATGCAGTAAAAACATTGCATTACATTTTATCCAGCATTGCTAGCTGTTTGTGGCTGTAGCGTTTTAGTTTTAGCTTATCTGCTTCATGCCTGAATCAGAAGCACTAAGTGAATTTCTCTAAGTCTGTTTCCTCCTCTGTAAAGTAGTAGTACCTGCTTCATGGGCTTGTTGTGAGGAGTGAAATGAGATAAAGCAGGTATAACACTTAGCATGGTGCCTGGTAGGTGGTAGAAGCTCAACAAATATAAGTTATCATAGTCATTATTCTAGAAAATTTGGAAAGTATAAGAAAATAAATACTGTACTCCCCACTGACAATTAGGATTAGGACTTTATTATATTTCTAACATTTATTCATCTGTATACATCACACATTATTTTTGTAAGACATAGGTAATACTGTACATAAAACTGTGTCTGCTTTTCTTATTTCATCAGACTCCTGTATTTCACAGCTGCGCCGCCTCATCTCAGAAGCCCATCTATCATCTTAGTGAGAATGCAGTTATCAGGATCACATTCTTCTTCACAGATCCCACCTCAGCAAGAGGGCACAGGGTGGCTGGGGAAACAGTGAGGTCCAGAGGACACACGAAGAGCGTGTGGTGGGCAGAAACTCTTGAGTGTTTCTGCCAGAGGCCATCACCCACCCAGGTGCTAGGCCTGAGCGACCCTGTCTCTTCCCTCTTGCCCCTCACCTCCCTCCCTGTTGCAGGTCTCCATAATGGGACTGGAGCTTTCCCTGCCAGTTACTTTTCAGCTCCGGGCTGGCTCTGGACCCGTGTTCCTCAGTGGTCAGGAATGTTACGGTAAGTCCAAGCTTTGGTATGGGGAAGGTCTGAGAGTACAGTGTCTAGCACAGGTCTAAGGCCATAACAGGTACTTGTTCAAACACTTGAGGAATTCACTTGAGGTTTGTTGAAGAAAATCCCCGAAGTCAGCATGGTAGGCCATGGGCAAGGGTCCTAGCCCCAGCTTCCCTTTATCTCCTGGTAACGTCCTCTCTCTGGGCCTCAGCCACCTCACCTATAACATGCAGGTGGGGGCATACTTGGTTTCATCTTCAAAGAGTTGTTGTGAGGAATAAGTAGGATGTACAGGGAAAGCACTCAGCATGATGCCTAGTACATAGTGAGCACTTAAATGCAGAGGTGAAGGAGTAAGAAGGACCATAGCAAATTGGTGTGATATTGACCCCTTTAATATCCCTTTGGGGAGCCCTGGTGGCACAGTGGTTAAGCGCTTGGCTACTAACCAAAAGGTCAGTGGTTTGAACCCACCGGCCAGTCTGCAGGAGAAAGATGTGGCAGTCTGCTTCCATAAAGATTACAGCCTTGGAAACCCTGTGGGGCAGTTCTACTCTGTCCTATAGGGTTGCTATGAGTTGGAATCAACTCAACAACAATGAGTTTAATGGAATATCCCTTTAACTGGTGGTCTTCTCTGGACAGTTGTACCTCTTTTATCAGGCACTCTTCTGCCCAGAAGCTCTTGGCAGATCTCGTTTCCCTTAGGAAATGAGGTATAAATTACTTAGCTGCCTGTTTTAAGTTCTCTTCCATCATCTATCTCATCTCTTCTTTTCTCCTCTCCTCTCCTGTTCTCTCCTCTCCCCTCTCTCTCTCTCTCTCTCTCACACACACACACACACACATACTTCACCTACCCTAAACCCTGTCTCCCACTCCTTCCCAGTATGAACCTTCGCCCTACCTAGCCAGAACTGTCAGATAACTACTCCCCCATCACTGGAACAGTTTTCCCTTCCCTCCTCCTACCACCCCTAGCCCTCTGGAGCTTTCCCACATCCCCCCCCACCCCATAGCCTTCACTTTATCAAGGTTGCCATGAAGGGCCTCTTACAGGAGGTGGCTAGGTGAACACTTTCAACTCACAAGCTAGGATCCCACCACGGCAACACGTGGAGCAAAACAGAGAGTGGGACAGGAGCTGGGCATAACCTCTGCAGCTCTGAAGCTCTGCCTTTCTCCCCACACCCACCCCTGCCCCTTTCCCATGCCATCATAGAAACTTCAGACCTACCTTGGGAAGAGGAGGAGGAGGAAGAAGAGGAGGAGGAAGAAGATAATGAAGATGATGATGACGATGAAGATGTGTCTCTGGAGGAGGAGACCCCTGTGAAACAAGTCAAGAGGCCAGCGCCCCAGAAGCAGATGAGTGTTACTAAGGTGGGAAAAGGGACATGGCTGCCCTCAATGAGTTGGCGACCTTCCAGAGGTGCCTCAGAGGGACTGGGCATCAGCAACCTGGGCCAGGCCTCCTGAGTTAGGATGCAGGATGTGCCGAGGCCGCCGGCAGGCCGAGCCCTGCTGGGGCTCAGCTGAGGACCTGGTGGATCTTGGGAGTCTGTTCTGGCCCTGGACCTCACTCTAACTCTCCTAATAATGCCTATTTTTTGTTCCTAGAAAAAAAAGCTGGAAAAAGAAGAAGAGGCAGTGAGGTATCTCTTTCCATCTATTAAATTAGCCAAAGCATTTTAGCTGAGGTATACAGTGCTTAAAAGAATATGGTACACCTGGGGTGTGTGTGTGTGTGTGTGTACATGTGCACCTGTACCTGTATACACATGCGCACACACACACAGGGGTTTGGGGGCACTCTAGGTTGGTATAGCCTTTTTGAAAAGCATTAATGTTCTTATCGTCTGACCTCATTCCACTTATGGCAATCCCCTCCAAAGAGTCCCATCCAAACTACGGGGGAAATTATATGCACTAAGAAGTTTATCACTGCGTTATTCAAATAATAGTGAAAATGGAACCAATCTAAATGTCTACCAATACAATATTGGTGAAACCAAGCCATATCTTCTCAATAGAATATTACATAAAACCAGTTGCCATTGACTCAACTCTGACTCATGGAATATGCTTATGAAGACTATAGCAACCTGGAAAGTGTGTAGAGAGTTAAACAGACCAGGATATCAAATTGTTTTCATTTTCTTCACATGTCTTTAGAAGTTTGAACAACAACAAACCCAAAAGGAATTATACCAAAATGTTAATGTTGGTGGCGGGTAGAGAAAATTATAAGTAATTTATTCTCTGTTGACTATATTTTGTGCAGTGTGTTTAACATTGCTTTTATAATGAAAAAGACATATTTGTGATAAAGAAAGCAGATGGGAGATTAAGAAGAAAAATCATCCTATTTAAAGACAGAGAGCAAGTCAGAGTCGTCCCTGGAGGGTGATCAGGTGTAAAAGTGACTCTGCAGCCTCTGGATTGCAGGCCCTGCTTCCAAGAACTGTCCAGGACCCAGCCTTTCCATCACGGGCACTAGGCAGGCCGGGCTACTGGGTATCATGCTGAGGTCTCTCCCTTTCCCACCTGTATCCCCACTCCTTACCCAACCCTCCCTGGTCCCTGACACCCCACTCCTATTCCAGGTCCAGTGTTAAACACAAGAGCCCTGTGAGAAAGGTGGGTACTGAGTAAGATGGGGCTTGCCCTCCTGGGGGGGCAGGGGAGGGGGCTGAGAGGGCAGCCTTTGGGGAGGTGGCTAAGATAGGGAGGGGAGTGGGAGATAGAGCCCTCTCTTCTCTCCATAGGCCAAACTCACACCGAGACCTAAAAAGCCTGGATTCAAGAAGTGAGGCTCCAGGAACGGACTGGCAGCAGTGACCACCATGCAGGGTGGGCCTTCCTTGGGGTGTGCTGCAGATGCAGGGTGCCTACCCACCCCAGTCCCTCTCTATCCCTGAGTCTGAATGTGATGGGGGTATTGGGGGGCAACACAAGAGCCCCTCACCCCCAACTCTCCAGTTCCAACAGGACCAGGAGAGAAGAACCCAGACCTCAGGGTCACAATAAAGTTTGCTTTGTCAAGATCTTGTTTCCTCCTCCTTTTCCCTGGAGCTGCCTTTCTTGCCGGCTGCAGTGAGCCCACGTGCCCAGCAGAGGGCGGCAGCGTACCAGCACGCCCAGGCCCTGGCACACTACCCTGCCCCTATTCCCCCATCAGGGGCATGAAGCTGTGGCAGTCCCACAGGTTCCGCGGAAGGGGAGCCAGCCCCCAGCCACCGTGTTCTGCTCTGCTCTTTTATCTCCTTCTCTTCTCCTGGCACTCCTAACCTCCAGCTTTGAAGAAAGAACCAAGCATCTCAGACCCTTGCTCAGCTTCAGTTTTCTGCCCCCACTACTGAGCTGCGTACAAGGACCAGGCCTAGGGCTGGTATGGGTCCCACGTCCACACTCCCTTCAGCCAGGGCCCAGTTTTACAGGCACAGAACTTAAGGGCTACAGCACTGCCCCTGCCAGGAAGGGCCCCGCCCCTAGGGGATGAGCCTGAGGCACCACCAGCCCCCAACCCCCCACCCGCCTCACTTCAGTCCTCTGAGTTCTCAGATGTGTGGAACATCTATTGGAACTTTGGGGGCACAGCATGGTTCTCTCTTAGAGCTCTTACACCCACCTTCACATATGTGAAGATCAGTGTCAGACAGTGGCCTGGACCTTCAAAGAGCCCTTCCAGGTGGCCTAGAGAGGGCAGGCTTCACAGAGGAGCTAAGCCCCTTGAGTAGGAGTTGGACCAGTAAAATATTGGGGTTAGGCCAGTCGAGAGGACTGGAAAACAGGGTGGGGGACCCACTGCATAACTCAGGCCTCCTGCCCTCTCCCAGGCCTGCAAAGGCAGCTTTGGGGCTTGGTTCATCCATGGGTGACCCTGGCTTAGTCCCTGCAGCAGGCAAACCCACAGATGGCCCCCACTCAGGCTTATGCTTGCAGAGCGTCTGCTGGGCTTTTCCTTGTACCTCCCTGTGCCCCCAACCTTTGAGGCCAGTGGGAAGTTGGCCCGGCTCTCCACAGCTATGAGTCCCAGGGATGGGTCAGGAGGTAGGAGGCCTTTGAACACCTGCGTGGGAAGGTCAGCAACCGGGCTTTGGGCTCCCAGTACAGCTTTAGCTTCTCTGGATGCCAAAGACAGAGGAGGTAGAGGAGGAGGGCAGGGGTGGCGTTCTACATTCTGTGAAACCGATGTGGGACTTGTCCCTCTAGCAAATGAAAACAAGCCGCTGACCTCAGGTCACCCAGAGAATGAAAGGGACATAAGTCCAGGTCTGGCTCCGGTTAGCTGAGATTTGTTGAGCATGGTTCCAGCACAACCACACAGAGTGGACAAGACGAATTCTGCCCCTTCAAGTTACTTACAGTCTAGTGGAAACACAAAAACCAATAGTACTGTTTCAAACACTGTCAAGGGTACTGAAGGAAGTAAAAGAGGTTAATTGCCAGGATAGAGGGAGTGCTATTTATTTAGGAGGTCTCAGAAGGTCCTCTGAGGGGGTGATTGGTAAATAGAGTGTCGCCAGCTACACAAAGAGCTGGCAGAAGGACATTGCTAGTGATAGGAGCAGAAAGTGCAAAGGGCCTGAGGCAGGAGCTTGGGGGAGGGACAAAGAGAAGGCTGATCTAATTGCAGTCATAGCAGCTCCCGCGCGCGCGCACACACACACACTGTGTGCCAGACACTGCTCTAAGCGCCTTCCATAGATGCACTGCTTTGATCCAACAACCACACCTTGAGGTGGGTATTATCAGTCTCATTTCTCAGATGAGGAAAGTGAGGCACAGAGAGGTTAAACAACTTGCCCCAAGTCACACAGCTAGTGGAGAAGTCCAGATTCAAACCCAGGACACCTAGCCCCTAGAGCCTGGATTTTAACCACTCTACTGATGAGAGGGGGCGATGGGCAGCAGCCAGACCACCTAGGAAGTTTTGTAAGCTGAGAGCAGGAGGTAGAATTAAGGCCATGGCCATAAAAGGAGTCCTAGGAGAGACAGCGGGAAGCCTCTTTTTAGGTACATAGGCACTTCCTTCCCCACCCCAGCCAAGTGCCTCAGTTCTTTTGCTCAGCCGTGGATCTGTACATATGGATACTCAACAGATAACCTGTTGATAATTTGATTTGAGGGCAGGCAGTAGGGGTAAAAGAGCAAAGATGGGAGGTCTGCCTGCATTGCCTGGGCGGCCCTTTGCCCTTCCCCAGCCTTGGGCCCATCCCCAGCGCTAGCCTTTCTGTTGTTCAACAGGAAAGGGGTGGGCTGGGGTGGGGCGGGGAGGGCTGAAGCAGGTGGTGACAAGTGGCAGGTCTGCAGGTGGGCTCTGTGGGTGTGTTTGCACCAGCTGGACTGTTAGGAGGAACAGGCGTGAGACAGCCCCAGTTGGGGGTGTTGAACTTGGCACTAGGGGGTGAGGATTAACCACAGCAGCCCAGGCTACTTCTCACTTCCCTGATCACCTCCTGCCACCACCCAATAAATGTTAATGAACCCTACTCTTCTCCCCCACCTCACTCCAGTCGAGGGAGAAAGTCAGCCAAACTTTAGGTAAGCTGAGCCCCAACCACATAAGAGGGTCTCTGTCCTCTGTCCTCATACTTGTGGCACTTGATACTTTTCACTAAGTGTCCTTTATCTCAGTGACACTGATGGTGGCAGTTTTGACGGCATCAGTGGTGACATCTTTCCTTTTTATAAATTGGGTACTTGAGACCAGAGAAGTAAGGGAACTTGACATAAATCACATAGCCTCTAAGTACCAGGAGCAGGGTGGGGATAAAATCCAGAGTTCAAGCCTAGAACAGGAATCCCTGAGAGGTGCAAATGGTTAATGAGCTCAGCTTCTAACTGAAAGGTTGGCAGTTTGAGTCTACTCAGAGGAAATTTGAAAGAAAGGCCGAAAAATCAGCCATTGAAAACCCTACGGAGCGTAGTTCTACTCTGACACACATGGGGTCGCCATGAGTCAGAGTTGACTCAACAGCAACTGGATGATAATGATAATGAGTCTAGAACACTCTCCGTGCTGCCTTTTCACTGGAACCCACCACTGGCCTTCCCAGTGGGGTAAAGGAGCAGAAGAATCAGAAAGCCAGGCCTGCAGGTGTGGAATGGGAAGAAATGAAGAACAAGGAGCAGAAGATGTCTCATCCATGAAACAGGCTACCCAGCCATGCCCTAGAGCCCCCTAGCACTGGCTCCCTGGCTAAGCCCCAAGGCCAAGCTTGACTGCTGACATCTGTTACCATGGAGACCCAGGCTGGCTGAGGGCTGGCCAGTGACAGCAGGCACTTCCCCCACTGATAGGAGCCAGGCCCTCAGGTTGAGAGAGGCCTTGAGCATCTCCCACTGCCCACCAGTCAAGGAGCCTAGGCGGCACTAGGTCGAACTCCCCAGGCCTGCCTCGCCCTTATTGCCCTCTGTTTTCCCAGCTGACACCTCCACCCTGAAACCCCAGGGCCTGAGCTACTTGCTCCATGTGTCTCAGCTCTCTTACTGGTTGACTCTGTCCAGGCCCCCCAGGATTGAGGTCAGGTGGAGGTAGCCTTTAATACCCTAGCTGGGAGCTGGGAGCTGGGAGCTGGGAGCTGGGAGCTGGTGAGGATGCGGGCATGAGGTCAAAGGTTTCCAGAGAACAGAGCCAGAGCCAGAACCAATTACATCAGAGAGGCCGACTCATGGAGAGGCAGAGTTTAAGACGGGCCTCAAATGTTAGGAATGATCAGGGGGAACCAGCCTAAGCATGGGGACCAGCATGAGCCAAAGCAGGTGTGACAGTCTGGGATAGGTCTGGAGGACAGTGAATACTGGACTGGGAGTTTGGATACCTGACACCTTGTCCCACCAGTGCCACTAACTAGCTGTGAGACCTTGGGCCGGTCATTGACCCTCTCTGGGCCTCGTCTGTGAAACAGAGTCGAAGTCAAAGCAGATGATGAATCTCGAAGGTCCCTTCCAGTTTTGACATTCTTTGAGTTTGATTCCAAAAGCCAGTTATGCAGGGCCTGGGCTAGCACCACCCTCCCCAAACCAGCTCAGGCAAACTCATTCCAATCACCTGACGGGAGGCGGGCAGGGGGTGGGGGGCACTTTGTGCCTAGGGAGGGCGGAGCTGGAAGCCACTGGTGCTGGCGTGCTGGACCCGTCCCTAGAGGTGTCTGCCCTTGTTTGTGTGTTTGGGGGAGGGGGGTGGCAGACAACTTTGTGGATTGATCAAGCTCAGGAAGGTGAGAAGGAGACCTAGAGGTGAGAGTTTCACCCTCCCAGTCATCTTTTTAGGTAAATAAATCCACATCCAGCATTCCCCCTCTTTCCATCCTGAGGACACAGAGCTCCAGGGAGCCCAGAGCTGAGGTGTGAGCTCGCATCCTCAGGCCTGGAAGCTTCCCTCAGATTCCCCTAAGCACTAGCCCCACCCCAGGCACCATTATCCACCTTTGTGTAGTAAGGTCACAGTGTCAAACTGGTCACCAGCCTTCAGAGCCTCAGATACTGCCTTTAGTCCCGTAAACCCAGTACAGCTTCTAGGGTCCCTTCAATGAACCTATGCCGTGCGGGGCCCTGGGAGGGCATGGGCGCAGTAGAAAGGCTTGAGACACAGTCCGAGACATAGTGGGGAGTAGAAAGAGCATGGATTTTGGAAACCCATTACTCCAGTTATTAGCTGAGTAATTTTGAGCAAACTCTCTACAAATGTGCCTCAGTTTCCTCATCTGCAAAACAGGGGTGATAACTCGGATTGTACAGAGCAGTGTGGATATAGAAAGTGATATGAACTGCTTAGTAGCCACTTCAACTAAGACAGCTGCTGGGG